GTTTCTTGATAGAAAATCCGCGGTTTAATTAATATGTATAATTAAATTTGATTTAATTTTAACTTAAAATTATGTTTTTTTTGTCTCGTTATTAATGAATTGGAAAAATAAATTAGATAGGAAGTAAGTATGTAATAAGTAATTTATCAAAGTACAAATTTAATATATATAAAAGACAATAACATAAAGAATAATTTTGCCTTGTGCCAATTTCACTTGTTAGTTATTAGCAGGTAACAATTTTCCCATACATGTTCCGAAACCGACTTTATAACCATCGCCAGCACAATAACCTAGACAACAATGAAATAAATAATTATGTAATTTTATATGTACATATATTATATATGTACATATATAATAAATAGTTTATTTACTTACCACGAATAATTATTTCATCACCATCTTGAAGGAATTTTCTTGTTGTACCATCTTTTAGCGCAATGGTATGTGTGCCTTTCCAACATAATTCCAGCATAGAACCATAAGAATCCGAAGTCTAAATAAATATTTTATATCATAAAATATAAAATAAAATTCATAATTTATCTAATTTAAAAAAAATATAAATTACAAAAAAAGTCAATAGATAAATATGACAAAAGCTAATTTAATATATTAATTGTATTAATAATGCCGATTATAACAATACTAATAAATTTTAAACGCACGTTTCCACTTATAGTGCCGGATCCCATTAAGTCTCCAGGATTAATGTTGCATCCTGTAACAGTATGATGTGCCAGTTGTTGTTGTGGAGTCCAATACATGTGTTTGAAGTTGCTCCGGCATATGGTTGTGATTATACCACTTGATGCTGCAAAAAAATTAAAATTATTTTTTATACAATAAAATAAAATATTTAATACGGGAATGTGAATAACTATAAGAAAAGTAATAAAAAAGTGACATCTTACGTTTAAGGTCAACTTCCAATTTAATATCGAAATTACAAGACTCATTATGTTGCAAATATGGAAACGGTTCTGGATCTTGAGTCATATTTGGTACTTTGAAAGCGTCTAGAGCTTCCATTGTAACGATCCATGGAGAAATTGTCGTGCCTAAATTCTTTGAACCGAATGGTCCTAATGGCATGTACTCCCATTTTTGAATGTCTCTTGCTATTCAAAACAGAAAAAAAAATAAAAAATCAGAATAAAAATTTTAATTAATTATAAAGTTTTTTCTTTTCAATTATATTTCGTACCGCTCCAATCATTCATTAAGACCATCCCAAAAATATGATCATACGCTTTAGAAGCTGAAACAGTATCACCAAGATTTGTAGATGGACCACCGACAAAAAAAGCAACTTCGAGCTCGAAATCCATTAATCTGCAAGGCCCAAAAACAGGTGCTGCACCTTCAACCGGTAGTGTTTGACCACACGGTCGTCTTATGGGTGTGCCTGACACAACAATGGAACTTGCTCTTCCGTGGTAGCCAACTGGCAAATATTTCCTGTTTACATAAATTTATTCTACAGTACAAGTAATTTTTAAAGTACAAGCATAAAACAATATTAATAAGAAAATTACCAATTTGGCATTAGCGGATTTTCTTTTCCACGGAACATGATACCAACATTTGTAGCATGATTAAGAGAGGAATAAAAATCCGTATAATCTCCGATTTTAGCTGGTAAATGCATTATAGCATCTTTTTGAGCGACAAAAATTCTAGAAAAGACGTTACGCAGAGATTATAATACAATTTTTAAAGATCTAAATTTTTTTATATTAATTTTCGTTTGTTGATTTCTCACTTAGAGCGGATTTCAGGATCTTGCAAAGTATGATTACTGGCAGATAGCAGCTCTTGAAGTTTAGATCTTGCTTCTAGCCATGCTGGCCTTCCGAGAGACATAAAATCGTTTAGACAATCATGACGAAACACATCTTGCTTACTTTCCAACAATGGTCCATCGAAATAATTTGCGATAGCATTCAAATTCAAAATTTGATCACCAATTGCCACACCAATTTTTTTGTCTGGCTAAAATATTTTAAATATTATTTGTATTATATCTATCTATCGTAATATAATAATATATAGTTGTTATATAATAAATAAATATATAATTAATAAAGTATTATTATAAATTTTGTATTTTAATATTATCTCTAATAAATCTGACAATTTTTTCATAGTAAAATAATATAATTTATTGGGGAATTTATGAAGATAGAATTATTGAACGACAGTAATATACCAGCCGATGGTACCATAATAAATTTCTGCTAGACGGCATTGATGTCAGCAAGAATGGAATATTTCCATTCCATTCTTTACTGTTAGTTATCTCATGAAGAAATATGCAACCTAATATTTTATTGTACAATTTTTCCAATAATTTCCCAAAAATATGACAAAAATCCATAAAAAATTACTATATTTCGTCACAATATAATTCATGACTTCCTAAACCATAATGAAGTTGAAAATGTGTAGTTACATACTTATATTTAGAATTGTTTTGAAATCATATGACGTGGCATGATTTGTACGCGAGCTATGATGTAATTAATTTTGCTCACCTTATCTTTCGTTGAGAAGATTCCATACGGTAAATTTTCAAGCGGGAAATCGCTAGATGCCGAGTAATCGATGAAAGATTTCATGGTTACAGCTACTACAAACGTCTGTCGAGTCGGTTCTGTCGCATATGCCACTAACGACGATGTGATAAGTAGTATGAGATCCCACCAAGCTAGGTTGAGAAGTAATTTACATATACCTGTTTATGATGTTTGTTGTCGGCGAGCCTCTGGTTTAATTATTTCCGTTCATTAATGCAATGAAAATCATTTAATCGACTGTTTTAATTTTACCTTGAATATTGATTAGTTAAATACGATAAAAAATTTTATCTGTGTTGTGTAATATATATAATACATGTTCTAGCTCACTCATTTTTTAAATTAATAAATTCTTTGACGTTAAATTGGTATAAATAAACTTCGTAAAGTATCTAATTTTTTTTTAATTATAGTGGAATTTGCAAAAATAAATATATAGTGTCAATATATTTTATTTAATATTTAAAATCTTCACAAAAATTAAAAAAAAAGAAAATAGAAACAAGAGATTTATACGAATTACATACACTAATAATTTGGGATAACAGCAGTTTATTAGACATTGATATACAGTGGATAATAAGGGCAATTAGGTGTAGGCGGTATTCGAACAACATAGTTATGTATTAGCAAAGATTCTATATCGCACATACTCTTGATTTTTGCTTCTCGTTCACTTATCAACGATATCTTACGCACACGCATGTACATATATATTTTTTCTATGTATGTATATATATATATATATATGTGT